CATCCTGGGATGTATCTACATGTATGCACGTTAGGCTTACTGTGCAGTAAAATACTGCTCAATAAGCCTTTCCTGGGAGTACATCTACATATGCACCCTGTTGGGAGCAAGTCCTGCTCTGCCCCTCCTGCAGCAACCAGGTGGAGCTCCAGGCTAGTTCTGATGTGCACAGGGCCAGAAGAGCTCTGCTAGCTGCAGCGACAGCTGTCTTTCAACCCCATGTACATTGGGATGGTACCTGACGTGCATGGGGCTGGAAGACAGCTGCCACTGCAGCCAGAAGAACTCTTCTGGCCCCATGACCATCTGGACACATAGCTGCCAGCGAGCTCCCTAACAGGTGGGGCTTTCCTGCCTGGCATGAGTTTGCTGGGAGCTGTCCCAGGTGTGGACCAGCTGCCTGCCAGTCCTCCCCAGCAAACTCAGGCTCACCAACAGCTGCCCTGTTTGGGTTCCTAGCCACCCCCTGCCCCACTCCCTCCCCGGGAGCAGCTCTGTGCAGTGCAGAGCTGGGAACTCCAGAGAGTGAGCGGGAGCTGGAGTTTCCAGCTTTATGCCACACAGAGCTGCTTTTGAGAGCGAGTGGGAGCTGAGTTCCCAGCCCCTGCTCACTCTCTGAAGCTTCCAGCTCCATGCTGGGAACTGAGAGCCAGTACAGGAAGCAGAAAGCTCCCCAGTCCTGGTGCTAATCAGCTCCCAGATCCTGCGAGGATCCGGGAGCTGAGCAGTACCAGGACTGGGGACCAAGGCTTCCCATCCCATGGCCCCCTGCTGCCATGGGACTGGTCTACTGTGCAGTAACGTGTCTCTTATAGACATGACCTGGGACAAGCATCTGCTTACCTACTTGCAGAGGGACTGTGGGGGGCAGGGAGTTGCCAGGCAGGGAGCAGCCGGAGCCTATGCAAATGTCCTCACAACTCCTTATCTTCTCATACCCTGTGGCACACTTCAAAGGATTTTGCAGCAACTCAAGGTGCTGTGGCACTTTGACTGACAATCATTGATCTAGATCATGTATTTTAGAGCAGGGGACCACTACTGAAATGGTACCATCAGGATTGACTCTGCATCAGTCTGCAAGTCTGGAGTTCATCTGTTGCTTTTCATGTATGCTTAGGGCCATCTCTACCCCATCTGTTAGGCACTTTATTTTATTTAGGCACCTAAATGTCATTCTATTCCATCCTGCTTGAGTCCCTGAAAAACTTAATGAGTGCGTCCCTCCTCACTGCTTTTTTAGAATTTAGCTTTAAGGCTAAGATAACAACATGTAACAAAAATAGATTCATTAATGGTTATTCAGGGACCTTAGCAGGGTAGAATAGGATCACACTTGGGTGCTTAATAGTCTGCCCTGGCCCTTAATACTTAGTTTCCATTTCTAAATGATTAATATCTTTTTGTGGTATCCAACTAGTCTGTAGTTATTTATAACTATGGTTGATAATAATCCAGAATACCTTCTGTTGTTGTACTGATAACCAGAGATGCTGGTTTTCTCTGATAAAAAAAAAAAAAATCCCCATTTTTTAATTGAATAAAGTAACCCAAAATCCACATTTTTTCTGTGATTAAAATGAAATACCACCACTATATATATATAGTGTGTGTGTGTGTGTGTGTGTGTGTGTGTGTGTGGTGTTTCATTTGAATCACAGAAAAAAATGAGGATTTGGGGTTACTTTTTTCTATCTGAAAAATTGGGATTTTTTTTATCAGATAAAACCAAGATCCCTGCTTATAACCTATAAAATTACTCTTAACATCTATTAAATCATTTATCAACCCTCTGTAAACCATTTAGAAATGAAAACTTAATATTACATTTCACCGTTTTTGCCTTTGCTTCTTTCGGTTTTGTTTTTAATTCTCCCTACTGTGTTTTCCTTTACTGGAAAAAAAATGAAACAAGTTAAGAGGAGGAAGGGAAAATATGGTGGACCCCCTTCTAGTCCAGTTCTCTTTCCAGTACTGAATTGGTATTTAATTATCGTTTTTAATGATTGGTGCCAAGATTTTCAAGCATGGCAGTGACCAGTCTAAGCCATTCTAAATCCCTACGTGGACACTGGACTACGCTGCTTCCAGGAGGTTAGTTTGCATATGTAAACTTAGAGTTTCAGCCTACCTATCTGACAATTTCAATCAGTTCAACAGTGTCAACAAAGAGGGTATGGACATTTGAACAAATCACTGAAAGCTAAATGGGGGTGTGGACTTATTCAGTGGTAACTGACTGTATGCCTAAACTTACTCCCTGGATAAAACTGAAATTTAGCTTCTATTTATTGTAGGGCAAAAAGAGTCACATTGGGTGCATATACACATGCAATTCATTTGAAGCAATACACTCTGAGGCAGTTTGAGCTGGAGTAAACTACTCCTTGGCACAGCATCTACATATAAACCCAGGGCATGGGTGACTGGTGGCTCCTGAGTCTGGGGGTGGGGGCACGCACAGGCGCCGCTGCCAGCGTCAGCAGCAGGGCTGGAGCTGGTGAGCTCCTGCAGGCGCCACCATCAACTGTGAGCCTGGAGCTAGTGAGCCCCTACAGGCACTCCTGCTGGCATCAGCAGCAGGAGTGGAGCTGGTGAGCTCCCGCAGGGACTGGTGTCAGTGATGGCAGCAGGAGCAGAGATGGTGAGTTCCCATAGGCACTGCCACTGGTGGCGGCCTTGTCAGGGGGCCATGTTCCCTCCCCCATGCATCACCTACGGCCCAAGGCAAAGCAGTTTATGCCAGGGCCACTTCTACCCTGATCTGTCCCGATCGCTGGGAGGTGGCATTGGACAGCAGAGGGGCTGGCTAGGGATGAAAGTGCAGAGTCATGTGGCTAGGTGCTGGCTGGGCTGACCGGGCACAATTTAGGCCCACAGTTAGCATCTACAAGTGCATTTAATTGCAGTTAATTACTCTGCCATAAGTTACTACTGTCCCTGACAGTGTTAATTGGTTTATTGGGACCTATTACCATTTCATTTGTAGATGGTGATGTTTTACTCTGTATTTAATTATTCTACTTCTCAATAAACCACATGTGTAGATGCCATCACTGATGGTTACCCTTGATCCCTTTTAATTCGGAGTAATTTGTTGCTTGTATATATCCAACTTAAATTCTAATGTTTGAAACCTTAAAGGGGCCCAATTTTCAGAGAGTACACCCTTTTAAAATCAAGCTTTTTTAAGGGTTTCTAAGTGTGTCAGTGTAGGCACCCAAAACCAAGGCATCCAAATTACTAGAAATTTGTGAAACCTTGACATGCAATTGCTAAACAATCAGAAAATAAAGAATTAGATAAATCATTGTCTTAAACACACTATATGGACAGACATAGTTTGTGTCAGATTTACAGACTTCTGGTAGAATTTTCTCTTGCTTTCCACCTCTCTGATGGAGGTATATACAACTAGGGACTAAAAAGGGAGAACAACCCCCATCAAAATCAAGCAAATCACTGACTCAGCAAAGATGGAAATAGAAAACTTTTTTTTACATGCATACATGTAGGGCATGTCTACACATCGCCTTATGGCGACACAGCAATGTACTATGTCACTGTATGACATGCTATGGTGACATAGCGATCATGTGAGTCTACACATGATCATCAGCTATGTCGCTGTAGCGCCACATTCCCCTGGTATAGGAAGTACCCTCGTCTCTGTGGAAATGTAGCAGCAAAAGGAAGTACTAAAGCATGATACCATACCAATGTTGCCATATGGTGACATGTAAATGAGCCAACAGATACAAATATACAGTTTTACAGAGGATGGCAACTCCTTCGAGTCAGTGCTATCGATAGGTATGGGAGGTGGGATTTAGCATCAAATAGTTCTTATATCTGTTTTTTTGCACATGTATAAAGAATAATCTCTACAATCTAGAGGAACTATTCCTTAAAAAAAAAACAAAAAAACACTGATTAGGGCAATCTTGGAATACTCATGATTTTTTGTTTAAAATAATGTCCAACTGAGGAAAACACTCATACTTACTCATGGAGAATAGGACGAACTACAGTGCTACCATGGGCATGGGCTCCATACATTAATGTGTAGAGATAGGGTAACAATGTGTATCTTGTATTGAGTACATTCCTGGAAATATTTTGAAATGCTTCATCAAAGGCAGCAGGATCTTGCCTCTAAAAAAGACAAGGAGGTTGTTTTTATTCAAACTATTTTCTCTTTTCAAGAACAGAAAATATAAATGGCTCAAGGCAACTGTTAATGTGCCTGTAAGTCTACATTGGTAGATGTAGCAGATGCAGTGGGAGCCACATTCGGTGTAACAGTAGCAGCAATTATTGAATATATATAGCAATAATGATATTGAGAGAGTACATATGTGACTTCACCAACACTGATAATTATTCCTAGATGAGATGATCTCTATAGACCTTTACATTGAAAACTCTTTTTCACACAAAACTGCAGAGTTTCTCTCTCCCCGAAGGACAAAGTGACAGTAAATAGCAGTAGGTGTCACTATGAGCTCTAAGCAAGGAAACTCATAAAGGGGAAAGGTGAGAAAAACCTATGGAAAATACTAGGAGAGGGAGAAAGATTTTAATGCAAACTCCACTGAATATGTGACACATTTTGTTGTACATAATTTATTATCCTTCTTTCCTTCAGGGCAGCACTCAGGACTTTCAAAAAGAAAAAGAAGTACTAATGAGTGATGTCAGGGAGCACTTTCAATCTTTATTAAATGTATTGAACAATACCTTGGCAAATTGGGTAAGACTGGAAGCAACATGATAACCCTGCATCTGCATTTTTAAAGGCTTTAAAAATCCAATCGAAAGGTGTGCTACTGCAAGATAAAGCACACTGTTTTTAAAAGGAGACTTTAATCCATTAGATATATGCCATATAAATAGCTCTACTCTGCTAGACTTGAAGCTCTAACTAGAACATAAGTGCTGTTTCTATTTTTTTTTTATTTTCTCAGTTATCTTCTTTTACAGCTCTCCACAATACACTCCTCAGCTAGCACTGTCCTATATCTAGACAATAATTTTCCTTTTATTCTTTAAAGAAAGACAGTATCCGATAGAAGCAATATAAGCAAAACACTGTAATTTTGCATACTCCCTCAAGAATCATATTACACTGTTTCATTTTCTGATTTGCCCTCTAATTATGAACAATTAAGGGATAAGAATACTACAGTCAATCTTGCTGCCTTAAGTGTCCATGACAAAAGAAAAGAGAACATTTCTTTTAGCATTGTAGGTGTAGAAGATTTTTTTTTAAGGTATACATGGGAGGGGGGAGGGAGAAGGATGAGCTGGATTTCAGTTTCAGAATATGATGGTATACACCAGTATATGGTTTAACTTAGAATATCATCTCTTTAGGGAGCCAGGAGAATGGTGACATCCATTAGGTACCTCTGCACCTCCCATAGGGCTGTACCTACAGCATAAAGATAATACCATACCTCCCTCTGAATGGTGGCATTACAAATATTATATATAATTCCCAGGGGATGAAATCTTTCCCAAATGCTGTTGCTTTAGCTGGTACAACAGATCTTCATTTGCACTGCTTCTTGCTAGCCCTGATGAAGTAAGCCTTGCTTGTAATTAACATTATGTCTTATTGACTCCCTCCTAGAGGCACCCCAGTATATCTAACATTAATTACCAGCATATTATATTAAATACCAATACATTTATTTTTGCTAGGTCATGAGCAGGAGACAGACAGAAAACTAGGCTAACTAGGAGATTTCCACTGCCAGTACCTCTAAGCTCTCTTGAAAGACATATCAAATGTGTTGTGTAAGAACTAGTTTGCAGTCTGAATTTTTTAAAAGTTTGCATTCAAATAGATTTAGTTTTCCACAACTAAATCTTACTCCAACCAAATGATGCATCTGACAACTTCATGTATATTCACATAGGTCTGTAGAAACCCAAAGCAGAATAGTGGCCACATCAGAAATGTGCCGTCATCTTCCCAGACATCATTTTGTGATGAAAAACAGCCAGCAAGTGCTAATAAACATAGATCACCAAATCTGGTATCCAATGCTGATTGCATGAACCTGGAAGTGTATGTTATGTTAATTACTGTTGCTTAGCACATTGGAAATTAAGGTACATTTGACTGAATTCCTGGTCTGAGTCAATGGTCTTGCACAACTCTGGAAAAAAATCCTTACTCTGCTGAAACCAATGGCAAAGCTCCCGCTGACTTCAGTAGTGCAAGGATTTCACCCTCAACACTTTCAAAACTTTACTCATTTTCAAAGAAAGTGGTTCAAATCCAACTGACAACTTGAAGTTAGCAGGATACACTCCTGGAATACCCACTTACATCTAGGGCACCCCAAGAGCACTAATTCTAAAATAAGCAGTTGTATTTTAGAGAGCTTAAACCCAATGGGGCCCAATGTGGCCCTTCTACTCTACCACTGTTTTCTTTACTCACAGCAGGACTACTCATGATCTTTGCAGCCCCAAGCACATTGTAGGTGCAGAACAAATAAAAAACAGCTTATGACCTACCATTGTTCCTTTAGTATTGTGATTTCTAGAAAATGGATAAAAGGCTCCCAGCTGCATCCAGCGGGCACACATTTGATACTCTGTATCCTGGAAGAACCCACAGATATCTGCTCCAGTCTGAAAGTGTAAAACAAATTCAATTTGAACAGTGCAGATTATTACAAATGAGTAAAAATGTTTAAAATACGTATTAATAATACTGACTTACATAGGATATTCCAAAGAGGCTAAAATCCAACATACCTGCAAAGAAAATACAATGCATCTTTATTGATTGGTATTTTCTTTGGCATTTTAAATGTGTTTAAATAGTTTCTACAGAGTACAATTCTTCCCTCCCTGCAAGCATTGCTGCAAGCTGTCTTCTCTGAAGCAGTGAAGCAGACTAGTGAGCAGAGAGTAGAGAAGAATCAGAGATGACTTTGGTGGGAGTTGGGAGTACCCCTATCAAGTCTACTATCTATTTAGCAAGTTCAGCAATATGGAGTATGGGTCAAGAATAGGATTAAAGTCTGACTGCTAAATCCTTATTTTGCTTCAAGTTACATTTCTTCTACTCTAATAGAAGCAGGTAAAAACATATGATGCACCATAGTGGATCACTCCAATGGTCTATCTAGCCCACTATCCCATCACTGTAAGTGACAGTACTAGATGCTGTTGAGGGAGAATATATGAATAAGGCATGTCTAGAGTTATCCATCCTCTGTTACACCCTTCCTGGCATCCATTATCATTGGTTTAGGGATGTCAGAGGATACAAATAAAAGACCTAAGTGTCAAAGAGTAAAGTTGTTATAAAGCATAAATTGACTATAAAGACGGCTGATTTCACATACCAATAACAGATTTATAAAGTTGATCCCAAGCTGCAGTATTATCACCAAGCCAGTGTCCAGTCCATCTTCCACTGGATGGATATGTTGAACGGGTGATGACAATTCCACGTTCCTTTGTGACCTTCTGTAAAGCACTAACAATGACATTGGAACAAAAAGCCCATTATATGTGGGAAAAAAACTAAGAGACCTTGCATAGTGCTTGTAGGAACATTGAATTTAATACAAAAAAATAGGAACTATAAAGGAAATTTGAAAGGTGGGCAAGCTTATGCATATGTAGATAGTCCTAGGCACTGAATATCAGTTATCCACTACTAGATAAGTTGAAAATAACAATTACAGGTCACATTAAAACATACAAAAGGTCATGGTACATGATAGCATGGCTGTCTCAGATAATGCCGTGTCTTCAATCTACTATAGTTATTTAAAAATGCTTAAAACCCAGACAAAAAGTAGAAGAGAGTCTATAAATGTAATATGGTCATGCTTTCAAAAAGCCTTGAATATTTAGGTAAATTAAAAGATAACTCACTGAACAAAGATAAATAGAAAAAAATTATATGTACTTGACTGAAAATTTTCCTTTGAGTATTAAGGCTCATAGACCTGTTACAATGGGTACTTCAACTTGCTTTCAGGTTAAAGAGACAAGACCAGCCTGACTCTAGCTGCAAGGGAATGTCCATATCTATCCTGAATTTCCCTTAATTTGAGAATGTTTCAACAGTCAAAATAATTTAATTCAACTTTCTAAAATCATACAGTATATAAACAGCAATCCCATTGATATGTGGTTTCATCCCCATTTTAAATCATCTTCCTGTTTTCAAACAATACTACATCCAAGGACACTAAGACTCAAATAAAGGACTTTTTCAGGTAAGAAGAAATACATTTTCCTACTCTTTTTATGCTAAATCTATAGATCCATCACAATGGCATTTTCCTAGAAGCATGCCTTGACCATCCAGAGTTGGCCTCAGGACATAGTAGCACTTGGGGAAGCCTGCTACCAATGGTCTAGTGCAGGGGTGCTCAACCTTTTTGAATGTGGGGCCAGATCATGAACGTTTTATCACCCAGTGGGCCGGCGAGCCATATTCAAAGACCTCACAGGAAGCGGTATCACATCCCCCCCTCCCCCCACCCCGAAACGAAAGTACAGTGTTTACTTTCGTTTCCCATTGCAGCACCTTGGGCCTCAGAAAACAGCTTTGAGGGCTGCATGGTGGCCCACGGGCCACATGTTGGACAAGACTAGTTTAGCAGATCTCAAAACACAATATACACCATTCCTTTGCCCCCAAATTTTCCATGTTTCAAAGGCCAGGACATGGACATTTAAATCAAAGAGATTACCTCTTAAATGTATTTAGGATGTAAATGTCATTATGTTTTTGAGGTTCACCTGTTTGAATGCAAAGTATGGTACAGCAGACTGTGTTTCCTTTATTTAACATGATAATTAGCCTACGGGCTACACATCAGCCAGCAGAACTATCTTTTTTTTCACACTGGTCTAAGGTTTAAGTGGCGATATTTTTTTATTTCTGATATTCATTTTAAACCTGCCTGGTTCCATATAAAGCATTGGTTTTCTAATAGCATAACTCCTCTGCAAGACAGAATTATCTACAAGGAGGTTAATCTAGCCCATGAGATAAAACCTCTTGAGTCAGAAAGGCATAAGCATTATCACTGCCCTTGCCTCTTACTTTTCTATTTTGGAAAACAGTGAAAAAGGAGGAAAGGCTTTTCAATAGTCATTCATCCCCTCAAATCCTAGGTTCCAACATGAAGAAGTTTCTGTCTACCAATCTTTCCTTCCATACTCACCTTTACTCCCTGTGCAGGGCTTTATGTGCCTTGCTTCCTTGTCCCCCAGTCTATCCCTTGCCAAAAGTTCCATGTGTTCCCCTTCTTGCTCCTACACACCAGGCCAGTGTTCACATTCACATTACCCTCCATTCACTGTTTTTTTTATCCTACAGGAAATGACGGGGGTGACAGCATCTCTGTTAAACACAGTCCTTCTTTCTCCTTTTCTGGGTTCTGAGTTTGACCAGAAGTAATAGGGTTCTGCCCATCAATATCTTGACTGGTCCGTGGTATTTTGGAGTTGGTCAAATGTAGTGCTCAAGACTTACCACACTATAGTCTGTACTGCTATCAAAATACCATCAGAGTTAAGCATAGGGCCTTACAAGCTTGACCAACAGTATCCTGTATACATAAGCAGAAACTTACCTTCTGGGTTTTTTCCTTTTTTTAAAATTTTATTTCTTGCTAATTTCACCCTTCTTATTTTATCATTGGCTTCTCTATCTCAATAATGGGCTACAATCTTTCTCACTGCATCTCCTGAAGAAAAATGACATTTGTAGGTATACAAGCTTCTTTGGGTGAATCTGATATCTTTTATTAGACCAATTTAAATATAGTACAGTAGTTGGAAAAAAAAAAGTGTGGGTATATGCTCATCCGGGGAAAACAGCACATGTTGATTTCCTGGTCTTTTCTTTTCTTCCCTATTTTGCTCCCAGTTTTCTAAGAAAGATACTGATCCAGATCTCTCTGAGTCAGAAATTGAACCCCTTTCAGCTGCATGGCAATTAGATGAGCCTGGAAATCTAATTCTGGAATATGAGTAGAGGGACCTGTCATAGAGGTGGAGGGTGGGGGTAAAGGTGAGGGGGGAGAATGGAGTAGAGGGCAGAGTGTGCTATTCAGAGCTCTCCATTGAGACTCTGAAGGGAAGCTGAAGGGA